GAGTATTCTAGAATATCCTGGAGTATTCTAGAATATCCTGGAGTATTCTAGACTATTCTGGAGTATTCTAGAGTTTCCTGGAATATTCTAGAGTATCCTGGAGTATTCTAGAGTATCCTGTAGTTTTCTAGAATATGCTATAGTATTCTAGAATATTCTGGATTATTCTAGAATATCCTGGAGTATTCTAGAATATCCGGGAGTTTTCTAGAATATCCTGGAGTATTCTAGAATATCCTGGAGTATTCTAGAATATCCTGGAGTATTCTAGAGTATCCTAGAGTATTCTAGAGCATCCTGGAGTATTCTTGAATATCCTGGAGTATTCTAGAATATCCTTGAATATTCTAGAATATCCTTGAATATTCTAGAGTTTCCTAGAGTATTCTAGAATATCCTGGAGTATTCTAGAATATCCTGGAGTATTCTAGAATATCCTGGAGTATTCTAGAATATCCTGGAGTATTCTAGAATATCCTGGAATATTCAAAAGTATCCCAGAGTATTCTAGAATATCCTGGAGTATTCTAGTATATCCTGGAGTATCCTAGAATATCCTGGAGTATTCTAGAATATCCTAGAGTGTCTGGTAAGTATCCTGGAAGAATTTTAAATCTCCTGTATTCTAGCACCTACCTTGAGAATATTAAGATGAGATCTAACCGCATCAGATCTTCTTTGCAGATCTGCGACATCAACACAGAAGGATCCCACAAACTTTTTAAAAAAAAAATTAAACCAAAGAAAAATGTTTTGTAAAACGTTGAATTTAGAGGTGTATAAATAATGAGGCTGCAGGAAGATTTCATATTTTAAATCTTGATTTCTAAATTAAATATTCAAATATCTTCATCCTTGATGAGACAGGATTCACTGAAGGGTTTCACAGATAATTGAATTCATCCCAATCCCAAGAAATATCTTTATTTCTCAGATCAAATAGTTTTAAAGGGCTTTTTCTTTTTGAAAGAACGCCCCAGGATACCATTAAATGATATCTTTCGGAAACTAAAAGTTTGCGAAATTATGTTGCAAATTCTACCAATAGACATTTCGCTCACGTTCTTGAGGATATTGGCAAAGTGTGCAAAGGTTCCTGTAATTTCTCCAAATATTCTGATCCATCCAAGCTTATTTGTTTTTTCTAAATACACACTTAAGCTATTTAAAAATGCAGAAATATTTACCTTATTCTAAGTAAATACTTATTTATATATATTTTTGATGCTTTGGACTTGGTTTGTTTGTTTAACAAAACTTAAAATAACTGACATTTTTTTAAAATAACTAACATTTTTTGCTAGATAAGACCAGGAAAGGTTAAGGGCCGTTCGAAATTTAATAAAATTGCTTTTAAAAAAATGTCGTAATTCCAGCAATAAAAACAGGAAAACTCACGAAATTTTGTTTACATACCTTAAGCTTAAATACAGCTGAGGAATTAGTCCCAGTAAACACAGAGTTCAGTTCAGTTGGGGACCCAGAGTTCGTTCGGGGATCAAACTCTAACTCAGAGTTCGACTTTAGAGTAAACCCCAACTCAGAGTTAGTCCTGTGAGTAAATACTATATCGGAGTTCATCTTAGGAGTAAACGTCCTGGGAGTTAACCCTAACTTAGACTCCGTCCTGGGAATAAACTCTAACTTTGAGTTCGTCCTGGAACTGGTTGGATGAAACCTTATACCGGAGTTCGTCCCATCACTTCGGTTCCTATCCTCAGAGAACCCTAAACTTGAGTTCGTCCTACTCTTCTCCTCAACATCGGAGATACGATCTAAAATATTAAGTTTTTACTAAAACTTTATGAAACATAGAACATGTTTAGGTTTGTTTCTGTGGCTCTACATAATTAACATTAATTCAATATTTAATAAAATTAAAGAAGAGCACTAAGAAGTGCAAAAATAAAAGATTATGACTATTAGTCACTAGTTTTAGTCTGAATATCTGTTGATGAATTGACTTGATATTTCTAGAGAACAATATGATAAAGAATGATACAACAGAATCTCTTTTATCTCAACACTAAGGCATAAACCATTTACAACTTTGTTTGTAGTTAACTTTGACAAAGAAATATAGGATACAAGGATACAAGGATACAAGGATACAAGGATACAAGGATACAAGGATACAAGGATACAAACAAGGATACAAGGATACAAGGATACAAAAAAATATCAAAGATTTGCTTTAAGTTGATAAGATCTTGACGCCGCAAGAAAAGTTTCATTCAATAAATGCATTTAGATCTAGATTTATATATGTGTGGCTTCTTATATCAACAAAATTTAATCAGGATCGGAACTTTAGCGCTAATCTACAACATCTGAACTTAATATATCCACAGTGTAAATTTTTTATTTCAATGGTTTAATCCGGGATAAAAATTAGCTGGTTTTCATTTATGCATTATATTTCGCAGATTTTTGTGAGTCCAGATTGATATTCAAAAGAAACTTGTATGAACTGAGTCCGAATTAAATGAATTTGAGCCGAGTCTAAAATCCGCCAAAAAACGGTTTTAATTTAGCGCGCCGGCTTAAATCTTTAAACATTGAATACAATTTAAGAGGAACCAACCATATTTGAGCCAAGGCTAAAATTCCTTAATTTCGGCCTCAATAGACATAATTTCGAATAATTAATACAAAGGTATCCTTTAAACCGTTTCGTCTGGAGATCTGAAAATTGATCATTTTGAATTATGGTTTCTATATCAAAGTGATTTGCGGATTTTTTGAGCCGATGCAAAAAAAAACACAATTCGACATGTTTCAAACTTTCTCATTGTTTCTTAATTAAAGGCAGGAAAGGATACTGTAGTAAATGCAACTTTTAAATAGCGTTGACATGTATTAGCGCTTTCTAAAAAAGCTTAAGTTAACAATACAACTTTCCTCAATTCAGAATATTTTAAATCTCTCTTTAAATTATTAATTTTCTTAATTGAAAGAAAAGCATTTTTCATTGTAGCATATTGGTCTTCTTCTATTTTATCATTTCTCCTAAATCTGACATTTCATTTTTAAACATTGTATCTTTGTGCATTTCTCTGTTTGCCTAAGTCTTTTGTAGAGATCTTATAAGAATTCGTTAATGCTTGCTCCAAACAATTAAAATGATTTATTTGTTCAGAATAATTTTATTATTCAATTAATTTTCATATAACTGTTTTGTTTCATTTCCGTATTTACTTATCTTATTAGAAAAATAAACGGAATTTCAATTGACCGGATTTAAAGGGAGTGTTCGCGAAAAATAAGCGCTTCTACTCGCTTCTAATTTTAATTCTATCTGTTGCATCTATAAGGAGAAAATTGTTAAACACGTCTCATGCTGAAGAACGTAGCGTCCATACAAATTCAGAAAGTTGCAACATTCAACTCGGATCGTAAAATAATCAACTTAATTCCAAACAAATCATTCAGATATTACAAACAATAGTCATCAATTATTTTTCGACGCATTTATATATAGTTAATATTTCATAATATTTTTAAATTTTGTTCTTTAAAAATAATATTGCGCTGGCGCTGGATTTTCGAACATTCGTGGAAAATATGAAAATGTCGTCTTTTTTATCAAAAATCTTCGAAACAGGAATAAATGTTTTCAAAAGTAACTCTCTGAAAATTGATTATTTTTAATTTCTCTGTAAGACGTCGACATTTTCAGGGTACAGTTGTCAATCAGACTAAATGTAGGGTCATTTTCAAAAACCACATTTACAGCCAGTAGGGAAGGGGTGATTTTCATCCTAGTAAATTTGGGAGGGGTGAGGGGGGGGGGAATACGGAGTAAAATATATCCTGAGATAACGAACCTGACTCTACGGGTTCAGACATGGTTTCAATCATATTTGCCCTCTAACGCTACAAGGGTTGACTAAAGTTAGCTTGGTTGCAACATTTGTCCATTGTTCAACTTCACGAGAGAGAGAATTAAACTTGGTTCAATCACATTTAATTTCTCTGTTTAATCCTAGAAAACAAGGTTCGGGTTGAATTTGCTCCGAGATCTCATTAGACCTGAGACATAGTGCTGTATAATTCTCCGTAATTGGTCAGTTTGGCACCCTGGAGATCCCGGGAGACCCTCCTCACATCATGCTTTAATTTTATTCCAAAGAGTCTGGAGTTTCCCAGCAGGGAACCCATCATTCTAAACCCTGGGTAAATAGTTCACGTATACCCAGGATATATCACGGAAACATGGAACCATTTCAAACCGTTTCAACACTGTTTAAACTAAGCCTGGAGTAAGGTTCGGTCTCTGCGGAGAGTCAGGCCTGAACTAAACTCTGAACCCGGTGTGGGTTGAAAGAGGGGGATCGGAGCAAGTGTATAGGCCTCATACATTCTTTTCATTCCTCGCAGCTTCATGTATATAATCCATATTTACTTTAATCGGATTATAATATATAAACCCATTTTAATCCGACATTTTGAATTTTTTCGTCAAGCTGAGAATACTTAACATATCATAACAGGGTTCTTTATTAATCGTTGTTCTTTATATATTTATATATATATACGGCGTTGTCCGTGCCCATTCGTCTACAAATTGCCCAAGGTGTTGGAGTCTTCCCTTTTAAAAAAATCGTTAACGCCACCTGTCGTATTTTACACAGTGCGGCAACACAATGTTTTTGTTAAATCTTTCAAAAAGAGTTGTAGTGGAATTTAAAAAATCGTCCAACTTCCTCCCACGTCCAATATTTGGCAGAAAACTTCCTCCCACGTCCAATATTTGGCAGAAAACTTCCTCCCACGTCCAATATTTGGCAGAAAACTTCCTCCCACGTCCAATATTTGGCAGAAAACTTCCCCCCACGTCCAATATTTGGCAGAAAACTTCCTCCCACGTCCAATATTTGGCAGAAAACTTCGTCCCACGTCCAATATTTTCCCACGTCCAATATTTGGCAGAAAACTTCCTCCCACGTCGAAGCAATTAATTTGAGAGGAAAACCGTTCTGTGTGACATCTCTGAGTGTAATGGTTTGATAGAAATACGTAACATACAAATGTTTAAATCGACTCTGCATTAAATTATTTAAGATCTGGGTACTGTGAGCCAAGAAATAAACCTTTCATGATCTATAAAAATATTGGATATCTTTAAAGGGACTGATAGCGTAAATAGTAGAAATACGCAAGTCAATTTTGTAGAGAAACCCCAATAGGAATTGATTAGTTTTCATAATTATAAACATTGATAACTAATTCAATCAGCCAAAACTATGTTTAAAATCAGGCACTGGCATATTTGAAGTTACACTTACAGAGTCCCTTTAAGTAAAAATATCAATATTTATAAAAATAGTAAGCTTACATATTATGAATTTTCTTTACTCGACTTATAGCTCCAGCGATGTAGTTTTCGTGCCCAGTTGAATTAGCAATGGTACGTGGTGCTTCTTCAATATTAAAAATAAAAACCATCTTTTCACATGAAAAGGTTTGGTAATTTCTGCTATAACATCGATAGACCTGGTTTTATCGGAAACAACCGACATTAAGTAATTTCTGAAGGGCCCAACTTTTTTTTGAGAGAAGTCTCAAAGTTGTTTAAATGTTATGTTTTAGTTAAGAATCTCGATCGAAACCCCGCTATTTCATTAAATTAGGATTAATCAACACGCTACTCTGACTAAATCAAGGTTTTGGCGTGCTGCTGATGCCCCTAAATCTTTTCTATATGGGTGTTAGAAACCACTGTGTTTTCTTGTGCTTTTGCTATAAAAAATATGTTTTTCTTCCAAAATTCTCGCTGTAATAAAGACGACATCTAAATATATTGCGGGTTTACAGGATTCATTCTAGGATAAATATATGAACGGGAAAAGTAATTATAAATTAAATCAATTTAAATCAATGCAAGCTGCAACTGATTCAATGTTTGTAAATGAAAAGATTATCAGAATATATTCATTTTGTTCATTCTCACCATGAAACACAAGACAAATGCATTTAAAGATGAGTATTGTGACAAAAAACAGTCACCCCAACCCACAGACCCCCTAAAATATCCCACCGTGCCCCCTCTCCTTAGTTATATTCTCATTGCTGAAAAAAGAAATCCGAGAAATCGGAAATATAATTTTCTCTAACAGTTCTCATGACACATGCTATATATATAACTTTTAATGTTATATATTTTTATCACAGATTATCGGTCTATTATCCACCTATTACAAGATTCAGAATAATACATCAAGTGATTAAGATGTTGAAAAGTCGAAAAGCCTTAAATTCTAAGTATTTAAAGTTCTTTTGGATCATTTGCTAGATTTAAATATGATCTCCACTATCTTTCATTGTAAGTCATACAGCTACAGGGTGTCCCATAAAAAATACAGAGGAGTGACGAAGTAAAAGTCTTCTTTGATCAAAGTGTGTATCAAAAAAAAGCTTCACGGCTACATTTTCTTTCTTCCTATTCTGTGGGACACCCTGTTTGATGTAAATTAAACGGATTGATACACACCAGAAATGATGTTAGATTATGGGCGGAGTCTTAGCCTAGTTTTGACACTACATCTCTAGATTCACATCAGGAACCATCAGGAACCATTAGGAAACATTAGGAACCATCAGGAACCATCAGAAACCATCAGGAACCATCAGGAACTATCAGAAACCATCAGAAACCATCAGGAACCATGAGGAACTATCAGGAACCATAAGAAATCATCGGGAGCCATCAGTAACCATCAGGAACTAACACGAACCATCAGGAACTATCAGAAACCATTAGGAACTATCGGGGGTTCATTAGCAATCACTAGGAGCTATCAGGAACCATCAGAAACCATCAGGAACAATCGAGAAGCATCAGGATTCATCAGGAACCATAAGGAACTATCAGAAACCATCAAAAACCATCACAAACCATTACAAACCATCCGGAACCCTCAGGAACCATCAGGAACCATCAAAATTCATCACGATTAAGTGAAAGTTGTGAATCAGACAACAATCAAATCTCAGTAAGTTCCCAGGAACCAAACAGACAATAATTCCTTCTCTGTTGAACCCAGTGAATGCAAACCATCCAAAACTCCATATCAAGATAACATCTCTCCTGGCACCCTGGCTTCAGAGCATAATTCTTATTCAAAGTATTAAATTGAGAATTATACTTTGCACCGTCATTCGTGTCAAATGTTGAGTAAATATCCTCAACTACCCATACGGTTCAGTTATTACCAAAAATGGATTGTACGTGTAAATTTAACTGCGTCATTTATTAATTAAAAGACGAGTAAAAGTAGATGATGCTTTCGGAAATGATATTTTTTTCAACCGATAATAAAAAAAATCAAATAGTTTTATTTCTCTAAACTTCTGTTCTATTTTTAGGACATGTTCGTAAATTATTGTACTCTTATTGTTTCAACCTACAGAATTTTGACAAGTACTTCTAAAAAACTAAAGTTATTAACAAGCGCTTTTAGTTGTACAATGTATATTGTTAAGGTTAATATCTGGGTTATTAAAAGCCTAGGCGTTATGACATCTCAAGGTCGCCCCGGTCTAGAACAATTTTTTTTAAATCAATTTATTCCTTTTTATTCCGTAATTACTGAAAATGAACAATACTAATAGTATTTTTCTGTGTACGTTTAACATTGTAAAAATTAAATATTTTGACCATTGTTTTCACGTAATTAGTGAAATTTTGAGTATCACTGCGAGCAAACATATGCACGCTCTCACGCAATAATTTGATAGAATTTAGCCAACTACTCCTAGGAACTGTTCAGTTTTAAATTTACATGTCCAAGGCTACAAAAGAGTATAAGTGAGTAATAAGAATGAACTTCAAGGTCAACGTATTATATAATTTCAAAGTCGGCGAGGTCTAAAGATGAAATCCCCGAAAGAGGATTATAAAATCTGCAATCAGTAGCTTCGGATCTGGAACCAGCGAAAACCTACTCCTCTCTTTTAATATACTCGTTATTCATTATGTATAGAGACAATAAATGTACCTTTAAAATGCATTACTTTCATAGTGGTATACACTATCCATACAATCCTTGGAATATTATTGTTTACGCAACTAACGCAATTCTTGGCCTTGCAGATTAATCAGGATTAAACCCCCGGAGCCAAGTAACCACAGACCCTGGAGAAACTGATCGCTGAGAACCCAAACCTAGAACCGGGGTGGGTTTCTCAGGCACCCTGATATATCATTAATAATCCTGTTTAGGCTTTTCAGTTCACAATCATCATCGTAAAGAATGTAACCTTTATCACTCGAGAGTTTTTATCAGAACAGACTGACATTACATATTATGTTTTGATTAAACATTACTTTTATAATAGCAGTTCTGTTCAAAGTGACGGATTTTCAAACAAAAAAATACCTACATTTTTCTTGTCAAATCTTGAAAATTTGGGTCATATGAGTTGCCACACAGAACTTAAACCTTTTCGGTTCAGCCGTTTTGGCGTTTATTTGATACAAACGGACAGACAAACAGACACGGACAGGCAAGAAAAGAATATATATCCACTTCAGATTTTCAACCATCTTTGCCTCTCCCCTCATGAAGGTGCCCCAATGTGTAAACATGAATAAAGAGAGAGGAGAGAGAAAGGGTAAAGAGACAGAGAGGAGAAAGAGAGAGGGGAAAGAAAGAAATGGGAGAGAAAGGGAAAAGAGAGAGGGGAGAGAAAGGGGAAAGAAAGAAATGGGAGAGAAAGGGAAAAGAGATAGGGGAGAGAAAGGGGAGAGAAAGTAAGAGGGATATAAAGAAAAGCTGTTGTGGTTTAATTCTTCTATAGAACAGGATATCTTGCTTAGTATTCAGGAGACAGAATTCACATATCTTAACATATTTCCAACATTTTCCTACATTTTCTTACAAGAGTTCAGGAGATTCCACAGGAGTTCAGGAAATCCTATGATCCTATAGGAGTTCAAGAGATCCTCCAGGAGTTCAGGGGATCCTACAAAAGTTCAGAAGATCCTGAAGGAGTTAAGGAGGTCCTACAGGTGTTCAGGAGATCCTTCAGGAGTTCAGAAAATCCTACAGAAGTTCAGAAAATCCTACAGAAGTTCAGGAGATCCTACAGGAGTTCAGGAAATCCTAAAGTAGTTCAGTAGATTCTGCAGGAGTTCTGGAGATCTTACAGGAATTTAGGAGATCCTATAGGAGTACAGTAGATCCTACAGGAGTTCAGGGATCCTACAGAAGTTTAGGAGATTATACAGGAGTTCAGGGGATCCTACAGGAGTTCAGGGGATCCTACAGGAGTTTAGGAGAT